GGAGGGGAGAGAGCGAGGGAGGGAGGGAAGGGGGAGAGCACGCCCACAAGTGCACACAAGCACGCACACACGTAAGTAAATGTGTATGCATATGGGGGGGCAGGGAGTGGCACAAATGTAGCGAGAAGGCAGAGATTAACAGATGAAGATAATTTCCTTGCTGACACAAGAAAAACCAGGCCCCATGTTTTCTGATGTATTAAAAGCTGAGACTCCATAATAAAAAGATCCTAAAACTGGAATGATCTGAAAACAGTTTTTTCCCTTCTAAGATGGCCATAAGGAGGCCCTGATGGTACAGTGGTTAACTGCTCAGCTGCTAACTGGAAGGTCATCGGTTTGAACCCACCAGCTGCTCCGCGGGAGAAAACGTGGCAGTCTGCTTCCGTAGAGATTACCACCTTGGAAACCGTACAGGGCAGCTCTACTCTGTCCTACGGGGTCTCTAAGAGTTGAAATCGACTCAACCGCAACGAGTTTTTTTTCTTTTTTTTTTTAAAAGACGGCCATAAGGTTAGAGTGAAGGCGTATATTAACTTACTTTTACTTGGGCCATCAGCTCTCTAAACCCACTCCCATCAAGTCAATTCTGACTCATAGTGATCCTACAGGACAGAGTAGAGCTGCCCTATGTGGAGCGGCTGGTGGATTTGAACTGCTGACCTTTGGTTAGCAGCTGTAGCTCTTACCACTGTGCTACTAGGGCTCCATCAGCTCTCTACTGTCCCTTTATCTAGAAATGCCCACTACATCTTAAGGGTAAGAACTAAGATTCTCTGTATGCTAAGCAAATTTTTGAAGCACCTAGTTTTATTTGGAAATGAGGAATTCACGGTCAAGACAACACAGATATGTCTTCTTTCAAGAAGCTCTGGAATAAAGAACACCTTTCTCTCACTGGAATTCACTGCATTTTCACAGGCTTTGTTTATGAGAAGATCCTATCCCTGGAGGCATCTGAACTGTGCCATACCTTCGTCTAGCACTCATATCCACAGGCTCATCATTGATATTTTCTTTGCCCGGCCTGACAGCAGTCCTGTTGTCTCCATGAGGCCTGAGATTCCCATTGAGTTTCTCTTCATAGCCCTTGACACCGCCGCCATCCTGTTTGGTGGATAACTCATGTGACACCTCAAGGTTTGCCAAATCCTTCCTTTTGAGCAGTGCCAACATCTTCAGGCGCTCCATGGCCTCATGCCCCTCCATCTTGAGCCGCTTTGCCAGGACATCATCTCGCTCATCTGCTGGGTCCAAGCTCCGCTTCAACAGATTCAGGCGAAGAGCATCTTCTGTCATTCTATCCATCCTATGGAAAGAAATACACAGTGAGATCAGAATAAAATCCCTTAAGTAGTACACAGGAAAAAAGGATGGGGTGGGTAAACGTATTAAGAATCACAGACAAATATATATGAAAATTCAAAGTTAACTCATCTAACCGTCTGCCCTATACCTTCTAAGAATATTCTGTACTCAACCTTAGCAATGAAAATAAACTTCAGATACTTTGTAGTTACTGAGGCCCTCACCATACAGAAGCCTGAAACCAAACACCGCACTCACATGGATGGTCCATTAGAAGCAGACATCCTTTAAAAAACAAACACTCAAAGTGACTATGCACGCACACACACAGTCAGAGGCTTCTACTTTAGTTTTTGCACCAAATTCTTCTGGGAAAGACTCTTCTGCAAATGGGAAGCTTCTCAGGTCACACAAGCTTATCTTAGCTGGCCTATTTATGGATGGAGAAATCTGACAGAGATGAATTAGACAAAGGGTATCTAACAAGAAGCCTCCATTGGCTAGATACAGCAAGAATCAGAGGGGCCCATGTTATTTGCCCTCAATTCTATACAGATACAGAGTCTGCATCTTAAGCCACTTGGCTTTTCTTAATGAAGAAAGCTAAGGTGCTTTAGCCTGTTAAGAGGGGATATTTTCTCTACTCATGCAGCAAAATATTAAAGGCAAGCTAATCATCATCTTCCCCTCTCACTTTAATTTTTTACACTAACAAAATTCAAATGCAGAAATTTCTCCAACCCTTTCAAATCCAGAGCGGCTGTCCTGGTGAGAAATAACATGATGCACTGGAAAGAAGTGTCTGAATCAGAGAAATGTAAGTTCAAAATGCTTCTTACTCTTACAAGGTCAATATTTAAAAATTTACTTAACCTCTCCAAGTCTCAGTTTCATCTGTAAAATCGGGGCACTGAGAAGGTACGCAACAGAATTTAACTTCCACACCCCAGGACTATGACTTCCATAACTAAGGCATGAAAGTAGGCTCAACAGACTCAGGCAGTAGGACAGAGAAGGCTACATATGTTAACTGGTACTTCTGTTCAGAAAACAGTGTATTGGCCTGAGATACCTTCCATATATATATATATATATATATATATATATATATATATAAATTTATATACCATAAAATTTGCCTATTTAAAGTGAATTTTACGGTTTTAGTATATTCACAGAATTGTGCAATCATGACCACTGTCATCATCCCTCCCCCAGAAAACCTGTACCCATTAGCAGTCACTCTCTTTTTTAGTTTCAATTTCCTCCACCCCTCAAGCCCTAGGCAACCACTAATCTACTTTCTGTCCCTATAGATTTGTCTATTTTGGACTTTCCATATAAATGGAATCATCCAATTATGCGGTCTTTTGTGACTGCCTTCTTTCACTTAGCACGTTTTCAAGATTCATGCATGTTGCAGCATGTATCACGTACTTCATTTCTTTTTATGATGCGGTAATACTCCATTGTATGGCTACATCACATTTTGTTTACCCATTCATCAACTAATGGACATCTGTGTTGTTTCCACTTTTTAGGCTATTATGAACAATGCTGCTATGAACATTCATGTACAAGTTTTTGTGTGGATATATACCTTCAATTTTCTGGGGTATGGACCTAGGAGTGGTACTGCTAGGTTATATGGTAACTGTATTTATCTTTGTGAGAAACTGCCAGGTTGTTCTCCAAAGTGGTTGCACCAATTTACATTCACACCAGCAATGCACCAGGGTTCTAATTTCTCCATATCCTTTTTTTTTTTAAATAATTTTATTTTCGTTGTTGTTAATAATATACACAGCAGAATATATAACAATTCAACAATTCCTATATGTACAATTCAGTGACATTCATGACATTTTTTCAAGTTGTGCAGCCATTCTCACCCTCCTTTTCCGAGGTGTTCCTTCCCCATTACCATAACCTCATTGCCCCCTAAGGTTCCTATCTAATCTTTCACGATGCTGTTGTCCTTTTGATCTCATATAGACAGTTCTCAAAAAAGCACAATGCTCAAGGCAGATATTCCTTACTAGTTAAGCTAAACTACTGTTTGGCTCTCCATATCCTCTTAGTTCTCTTTTAACAGCTTCAGATATGAGACATATTATAGCATAATAAATACTCTTTAGCTTCAGATCCTTCAAAGATTTGTTATTTCAACATTTGTTACTTTTGAAGTGGTTTATCTCTGAAAAATACCCCCAAGATACAATGACCAGAAAGTTGAATGCTACAGAACACCAGAAGTTGAGCCCTAACTCCATGTAACAATGTGCTGGGTAAATCAACACCACATACTTAGAACATATCTGAATACCATGCAGAGTTGCAGAGGGTGGGAAAAGTCAGCCACTCAACTGATAATACACTTAGATGTAGAAAGTACTTCAGAGAAGTACACAGCAAGATATACAAACATAAGTTAATACAACACAGTGTTCTAAGTTTTGACCTAAACTATATTCATGAGAACTGAAAGTATACGACAAAACTCAATAAGCTGAACAGAATTTGGGATGCCATCACTATCTCAGTTTGCTGACTGATAGTTACACAGCTGAAAGCAGTTCAAATTTATTTTCCCTTATTATACTACAATGAAGCAAGAAGGAAACAGACAGGTTGGGATAAATCAGAACCCAGGTATCTGAATGTCTGAGGTAAGTAATCTTTCCCAATAGATGGCCTGAGAACCCTGACCAATTTTTCCTTGCCCACTCCTGTCATTAACTACTCTGTAAGTCCCAACTTCATGTACTCACAGCCATGCCTGCCTAAAAATCCAATGTAACAGGTAATGATTACAAATGAGCATAAGCAACCTTTTTTGGGTTGATGGAAATGTTGCAATACTGGATTGTGGTGGCAGTTGCACAACTCTGTAAATTTACTAAAAATCACTGTATTGTGCACTTAAATTATATACCAATAAAGCTGTAAAAAATGTTCAATGTAAATTGTCACACAAAAATTCCTCTCAAAAAAAAGTAAAAATAAAACAAAAATTATGTGAAATAAATGTATGTTTTTTTTAATGCGTAACCAACCCTATTTGTTTCTTCTGCACTGCTAATAATAATAGCTACTCTTTCTTAAGCACCTAGTAAAAGCCAAGCATACTACATACTAGGCACTTTATCATGTATTCTTATTTAAATTTCCTGAACAAACTTATTAAGTAGATGGTATTATCCTTATTTTACAGGTGGGAAAAAAGTGTCAGATCAAGTAGCCCAAGACTGCAAAGCTTGAAGACGGCACATCTAGAGGTCTAGCTCACTCCAAAAATCTATTATACAGTATGCCTCCCTGCTCAAAGAAGCAGTGTGTATGTTCATGTATTTGCTCATCTACCCATCCACCCAACAAATATTAAGTATATACTATATGCCAAGTTCAGGGACATGATATAGCTAAAATAAGTACTTGGATGTTGACATGAACTAACTTTCTCTGAGTTTTCACATCCTGCTGTTCTTCCTCATATTTCAGGGAAGGTAACACAATTCACCTAGAGGTAAAAGCTAGAAGCCTGGGTGGGAATCATCCTAGACTCTTCTGACGCTAAAGTCACCAAGTCCTATCAATTCTATTCTCTCCCACTGAATGTGAATGAGGAAACAGGTAGCCCTGGTGTGTTGTTGCTGGCAGCCATCTTGTGATCATGAGGGAAGGCAGCCTGCAAATAAAACAGACCCTATCCAGAACAGAGCATTTAGATGAGAGCTGATTACACAGCTGTGCTACCAGCGCAAGCTACCCTGAAGCTCGTCTCTGGACTCCTGTTACACAGGCCAATAAATTCCCTTAATGTTTAAGCCAGTATTGAGTTGGGTTTTCTGTTACCTAAAGTGAAAATATCCTACCTGATAAACTCTTGTGAGAAGTGCCTATGTGAAATGAAGGTAGAAATATCCAGTAAGCAGTTGGATACATGGCACACAAACAAAACAGCCAGAGCTCTGGCCAGAGCTGGAGATATACTGAAAAGGTAAAGGAGGTAACCAAAATAATGTACAGGGATGCATGTAACTGACCAGAAAGAAGATATACATATAGTCAGAAGGAAACAGGGCAGCGATAGAATCTTTGGCAACACCTATGCTTAAGGAGTGGTTGGTCAGAGAATACTGAGACGTGACCAAAGAGCTAGGGGGAAAACTAGAAAAGCATGACATGTCAACAAAATCAAAGGAGCGTTTCAGGAACAGAGTACTTAATTGTGTCAAACAATGGCAGGAGAAAAATGCCTAGCTTTAAATTTGCTGTTGACTGATGGAAGAAAGAATGGCCAAATAGCAACACAGCTCTAGATCCATGCTTGTCAAGTTTTAGACACACTGTTATCCCCAAACCAAAATCCAGGTCTGCACAAGGCTTAGCAGATCCTCAGAGGCACAGAATGGAAGCAAAGAGTGAGAAGGAGAGAGAGCAAAATGAATTAGTATCTACTGAGTGTCTGCTATGTACTAGGCAATATACAAGGCCCTTTAAATTTGTTCTACCATTTAACCACAACAGAAGATTAACAGAAAACCTATAGCGCTAGCTGGATCAGAAAACCTCCAGTTCATTAAAAAAAAAGAAAAAGAAATTTAAGTCTATAGTTATATATATATTTAAAAAATTTAAAGCAGCAATGGCCTAAAACACCATCAAATGAGTATGTTGCTTCATGAAGCATTCTCAGTATTTATAATGAACAAGACACAACAGTCCTTACAAAGTAAAATAGTATTTTTTAACACATTAACAAAAATAAGTTTTTAAAAACTGTTTGGGCTTCAAAATTCTAAATAGGAACGAAAGTACTTTAAAAAAAGAAAACACAGTTTATAAAGATAATGTTCTACATTCTACTTCGGTGAGTAGCATCTGGGGTCTTAAAAGCCTGTACGCAGCCATCTAAGGTACTCCACTGGTCTCATCCCTTTGGGAGAAAGGGAGAATGAAGAGAACAGGATACAAGAAAAAGATCAGTCCAAAGGACTA